ATGATCTAGAGATTTCAAAGTGCCCACAATTCCTAGTCGAAGGTTCCAGCAATAGCCTCCCGTCACTCACCTCGATAGCTATGAATGACGTTCCTCTAACAAGCCTTGAAGCGGTCCTTGAGATGAGGAGTATGGTTGATGATGAAGTGATATCTACAAATGCAAAGTCTAAGCATCCGAGTTCAATAACTTCCTTGAGCATTGGGATGATTAAGAAACTCGAGCTCTTGCCGAAATGGGTTACTCATGGGCTGATGGAAGTCGAGGTATTGAACATTAGAAGCTGTGAAGAACTCAAGACACTGTGGAAGAATGAGGCGAGAGTGCAACATAGCTTCCCTGCATTCCGACGTTTGAGAATTGTAGACTGCCCCCAGCTAGTTTCATTGTTTGAAGAAGATGAGGATGAAGAAAATGAAGGGCAACATCAGCAACAACGACAAGAGGGACTCCCTAGCATAGTGAGGCTTGAGCATCTAACAATATATGATTGTAACAAGCTGGAGAAACTGCCACGGCTGCTACATACCTTCACTTTTCTTCGAGAGTTGTATGTCTGGGAGTGTCCAAGTCTCGGCTCTTTTCCGGAGACAGGTTTTCCGTGCATGCTGAAAAAACTCCAGATAATTGGTTGTGAGGCTCTGCAATCCTTATTCGGGTGGATAAGGCAGGTTAATGACAATAATCTTGAAGTGTTAATGGTTACGAATTGTCCATCCCTCACGTTCTTGACATCGTGCAGAGGTGGGGGGCTACCACCCACACTCAAAAGCCTTGATATTGGGGGTGTAAAAAGTTGGAGGCACTGCTAGTAGAGGAGGGGATGGAAATTAACTGTCCATCTCTTGAGTCTGTTGAGATCATTGATTGTGATAGGCTGAAATACTTGCCAGATGCCCTTCCTAATAATAATAATCTCAGGAATCTCAGTAAATTGGACTTTAATGGGTGTGAGAATTTGGAGTCCATTCCGGAAGGATGGTTACACTCCGCAACAAATCTGAGAGAAATGGATATTAGGGGATGCAAAAAACTGAAGGCCCTACCACACGGATTGCAGAGCATCAACTACCTCACTTCTCTTGAACGGCTGCATATGAATATTTCAGAATGGAACAACAACATCAAGAAGATTGGTTTGCACAGTTTATCCTCTCTTAAAAGACTGTTGATTTCAGGGGCAGAAGAAGAAGAACATCCGGTGGGTTCCAGATTTCCGATAGATGGGAAGTTGCTGCCCACCTCTCTGATCAATCTTTGGATCTGGGATTTCCAAAATCTGGAGAAGCTATCTTCTAAGTTGTTTCAAAACCTCGCCACTCTTGAAGTTCTTGATATCCGGGGTTGCCCTAGGCTCAAATCTTTACCAGTGCAAAGGCTGCCTCCCTCACTTAAGCAATTGCATATCAGTAGGGGAAGTCGGAAACTAAAAGGGAAGTGTGAAAAGGGGAAAGGCAAATATTGGCCCCACTTAGCTCACATTCCTGATGTCTATGTTTGATGATTCTTACAGAGTTCTAAACCGTGTGGAGATTCCCACCGCAATACAAGCAGTCAAATTGCCAGGTATCAAAACAGAAATTAATTCGAAAAATATTTTCAGATTTTAAAAAGTAAATATTTTTTCAAAAATAGAAAATCATATGAAAAATCATAACTGTTTTTGCTTATAGATTTTCAAATTTTTTTTGAACGAGGGATCCCTGAAGTATGCAGTACATTATATTTTCAAGTTAATCGAGTTTTTTTGGATGAGGAAGTTATTTGCAAATTCATATAAAAATTTAAAATAAAATGAATTTGTATTTTGAATTAATAAAAAATATTTTTGAAAATAATAAAAAAAATATGTTAAGTTTAAATTCAAAGGACCATTATGGAATAAATAAATAATTTTAAAAATTTTGTTTGGTTTTGGAGTTTTCAAAAATAGTTTTAAAATTTTTAATTCGTATTTTTTTAATATATTGGCTAATTTGTTTTTTTTTTATTTTTATTTTTTAGATGCATCTAATCTACGTATACTTAAAATTTTTGAAAAAATTAAAAAATTCTTTAAAAATTTTAATAAATACAAAATAAATATGAAAATGTATTTAAATATTTAATGATTTTTTAAAGATTTTTTTCATAAATTTTATATGTTTTAGGTGTATTTAGATTGAATTGATCTAAAAACTTAAAAAATAATAAATATTGATTAAAATACTTAAAAAGTTCATTGAAAACAATAAAATATGGATTGAAACTTAAAAAAATTATTTTTGAAAAAGCCAAAACCAAACAAAGTTTTAAAAATGATTTCAATTTCTAAAAACTAAATGAGTTTTGAATTTTCAAATTTCTAAAAAATATTTTTAGAATATACAACCAAACAAATTTTTAGAAAATTATCTTTCAAAATTGATTGTGAAAACCAAACCTTAGTTTTTTGGGTTTTCTGTGCTAGTCATTAATAAATTATTTTTGTATTTGTTAAGTTGTTGCCTGTCTAGTGACTAGGGAAAAGTTAGATCGAACATGATTAAGCTGATACAAATTCTTGTTGAAGGGGGAATTTTTTGGCCGGTCAAATGAGGGTAATGTTAAAAAAAAGAAAAGAAAAGGAAAGAGAATGAAATGCTGTGAAATTATATAAGTAGTTTGCAAATGCTTAGAAAAATCAAACAATTTTTTTGTTGTTGGAAGAGCAAACTTAAAAGGTTACAAACAAATATACGCATATCGGGGTGTCCAAATTTCATTTTGGTGAGCTATTCTAATAAATATGGAAATTGATGACAGTTTTAATTGTATACTTGGAGTTGTTATATTTTTTCTATGAAAAGAATTCAGAGTATTAAGTTTTATGAATCTATAAGGGATTATTTGATACAGATATGTGCTTTCAAGGATTTGAATACAAAGAGAGGCTTATTCCGATAGAGTTCCTTGTCTGCTTTTATTTCCCAAGGGAACCACAACAAATGAAAGAGTTCTCATTTCTTTCCAACTTGGTGCATTTGTCCTTGGATATCCTGTCCATCTAGTGATTGTTCGCTATCCCCATGTACACTTTGACCAATCCTGGTAAGAATTTTCTTTAGTTGAAACCGTTTTGGTGTTGTCTTTTGTAATATCTTTACTTTTGTAATCTCTTTACCTATGGCCTATCATTTTGTTTAGGGGAAATATAGCTTTGGGAAAGCTCATGTTTAGAATGTTCGGAGTTTCACAATTTCATAGATGTATGTTGAGTGATTTTTTATTTATCTATAGTTGCATATACTAAAAATGTAGTGAGTTTGGCTTCCCCCGCTATTTTTGTTTATAAAATTTTTGGGTAGTATGGTGTGTGAAGCGGCAACTCATATATATAAGTTGTTATAGTGATGCCCCAATTTGCTATTTTTCTGTTGATAACTAACTCACTCTCGCAAATCATTAATACTGATTATTCATCAACTTAATGTATATGCATTTATAGGATGTGTCCTTGACTATATTATAATTAGAATTTTGGTTACTGAATAACTTGTATGTTGTAAAAAGTTGAAGCCATTTATTAAATTGGACAGGTAGAGTATCTTCCTGCTATTTTACCCCTTGAAAATCAGTAGGAAAATGTTGCCCATTTTGCTCAGAGGGTGAGTCGACATTATTTGATTAATCTTTGTTGCCTTGTTGGCTTTAGTTGATATTTTAATATTAATTATATTCTAATACATCAAAGTTTTTAATGGGCACATTACATACAATTTGTTAATTTTTTGTATATTGTTAACATGTTCTGTATTTCATATGCTTAATCTCCTAAGCAATTCAGAACCAGTGGATGTTTAACACACCTTAAATATTGTAATTGAATTTGTGTGATGTTATGTCTACTGCATTTGTGTGTGGAAGCCTATCCTTTTTTTCGCATCTGTGCACAAAGAATTAGCCAATTGATGATTCCTGGTCTTTGGATTTCAAGTAATATTATATATATACAAGGATCAAAATTTCGTTTCCGTGTGTTGTTTCAAATAGTACAAAAACAAAAACATCTTAGAAATATTTTATGAAATGAAGATAAAATAGAAATGTTTGAAAATATAAATTGAAATATATCTAAATGTATAAAAGCTAATAATTGATTATAGTCATTCACATATAAGAATTTAAAAACTAATGTCACTATGAACTAAAAAATTATTAAGCATTGTCAAATAACTCAATTTTATTAAACAAAAAATTCCAATAAGGTCTGAAAATTTACTTAAACAATAGCAATAAATGTTTATGAAAATTTCTAACTTTGTATAGATACAATTTATTCTTTTGGTATATCACACTATGTTTTGGTGTGTTTCACTATGTTTTGATGTGTTTCAATGAAAACACTAGAATTTTATTATTCCACTAGTGTTTCATTTCGGCCTCTTTTGAAATGGAAACACTTTGGCCATTTCAATGGAAACAAATGAAAATTTTGTTCCTCATATATATTAAAGATAAATCCATGTCAAAAAGTTTTCATTCATGTGCTGTCTACGTTTTTCATGTTATTTGGTTCCAAACAAATGGCATATGGTACCTATTAAAATTGGGTGTAACTGCACATGCAACAGCCCTCGTGTCTTCTGTGTGCACTATGTTAACTTATTACAATTGAAGGAATAGTTTCCTATTGTCCATCTTTAATTTGGGAAATTTTTCCCTTTTGTATTGTTTTAGTAGCTGTTGGTGTATTGCCATGATTCTTTGGGGCAGAGCCATGTATAAGGAAGTTCCCACTGGAAATTTGAAAATCTGAAAATATATACACTCCACATGTTCACAAAATATCTACCTAACTAACTCTGTTACAACAAGTTGAACTAACACTTGACTTGTTTGGTTTGCAGAACAACTATCTCTAGTCTGGTCTTGGATTGAATCCTGGATTGCTGAGTCTTGCTTGGTTACACTAACTGTACAAACATCTCATTCCTATTGGGGCATCATGCTGCTTGCAAAAACTTCCGAGTCCAAGCAGGTCACTTTTCGTGCTCCATGTGTTTTGACTTTTATAGTTTATCTTGCTTTTAGGTCAGCAAAAATGATCTTGTACTTCATTCAAACATTCTATGAAGTGCTAGATTTCAGCTCTTAAACTTAATTTGATGGCCTTTTTTGCTATGGACCAAGAATAGTTGATGTAGCTGCAATGATGGAATTTACATTGTCTCCTTAGGATCTCATCATGTATTAGGTGTAGGTCTTGAAGCACACCATTTAACGCTTATACTTCCTGTCTTCCAAAATAAATAACTTCAACTCTCTTTCACATGCATTACTAAAAATATTTTAGTGTACTCTGGTTTGCCAAGTTTGATTTCTTTCAAATTGGGTTGATTCATAGAACTTAACTTTGTTCATTTAGCTCAACAATCTAAATATTGCAACCAACAAACAAAGTGTACTCAAGGCTCTAGCTGCTTGGTTTTTTTAGCATTTGTAACCTTGAGGTATGGTGAATCTTGCTTAGACATGAGCTTTTTGTGTGGTTAATTTCTAACAGCCTTCATTTCTCCGTTGTATGTTTCCACTCTGATGGAAGAGTATTTTTTTTTTTTTTTGCAAATATGCCTTGCTCCTTCCAGGGAGTATATATGTTGTTTGGCAACATTGTGTTTGTTCATAGTGTTTATTGCCTAGCCTTAGAAAACTGTCCAGGAACTTTCCCGGATGCAACTATAGCTTCATTGGTTTCTTTAATATTTTTTCATATTTACTTGGAAAACTTTTTGTAAATTTTTCATCTTGTCTACTAACTTCTATACAAGCCCTTTTCTAATAAATGATAATGCTAAATTATTTAAAGAGTCATGCTAATGACAGCCCAATGAGCTGCCAATAAGGGGAAGAAAACACCAAAAAACTCTCAATGTATTTTTTACACATCCCAAAGCATTTTCACAAATTTGGATACACTTTTTACACGTCCACTGGTACTGTTGACAGCCCAAAGGCTGTCTTTAGCATTTTTCCTAATTTAAATTATGCAAATGTATTCCATGTCCAAGAGATATGCCAGAAGACTCGTAGGAATGATGGAAACAACAGAATACTGCATGTTTTATAAAACTAAGTTGCATCTCTCTCTCTCTCTCTCTCTCTCTGTGTGTGTGGAGGAGTTTGAAGTCTTCTATGGAGTCTACCCTAATTTTTTTGTCATTTGTATGCTTTGCAAGAAAATCCCTCACTATATACTGTTGAAATGGCAAATGTGGAATCAGTGAGTTTTTAATTGAATGATTTATATATGAATACTTTTGTTGTGTTATAATATGGTGAAAATACAGATAGATTCATATCTCTTCATTGTTGTATCTAGTAAAACAGTTATTTGGAAGGTTTCCTTTTGTCACTTTTTTTAGAAATCTAGATGTATTACTATGCTGAATATAAGGTTTTTTTTTTTTTTTTTTTTTCAATTTTTTTTTTTTAAATATAAAAAAGACTTCATTATGTGCTTTTGCACAATAGGTCATATCATATCCTCAGTATCTTTTGGTTTTGTTTTTTTTTGGGTGTGTGTGTGTATATTTAATATAAATGTATAACACATTTTAGAAGAAAAAAACGAAGCATGCTTTTGTATCTATTGGTTAAAATGATGAAAAATTGAAAATGAGCTTTATAGACTTGTAATTTACTTATGGCTTTCGAGAAGAATTTTTGGGTGCTTCGAATGCATGTTGTTGTGTGTTCCTATAGTCAAGAGCACTCTATCAAACTTGCCTATTTATTTTTTGTCCATGGCCCATTTTTGGCGTTTTATCATTTCAAAACGTTACTCACCTAAGGTTTTAGTTCAATTGTGAATTTTATTTTCCTCCCAAGGAAACCTTCGAGGAAATATATTTGAAAACCTTTTGAGATCATTAAATTTACGGTTTTGGAACAAAAATGTACCATGTTTCGAAATGTGCTTTCCAAAATCTAATTCATTTGGGTGTTAACGTTTTGTGGTAACACTTTGGTTTTATGGATTTTGTAGAGAGCTTATTTCCATTGATTTTTTAATTGGGGTGCATTCTGCACATAGCGCATGCCTATTGTCTCTGTTGGTTTGCAATAAATTATCTTTTGTTTTTTAAAAATGCAGAGGAAGATTCAAGTAATTTGATTACCATCAATTATTCTAAATACATTGATCCCTCTCTAAACCAAATTTCTCTCTTTTTATTCAGTATTCTAGTTCATCATTAATGGATTACTCTCAATTTTCTATTAATTGGTCAATTGGAAAGAAGATGAATTGGATTATATCTCTTTTTTGCCAGACATTTGATTTAAGCAGTTCAGAAGGTGTGGACTTTCTAGATACATTTCTTTCCATGAATCCAAATTCCAGGTATGACGACAAGAAATTTTAATTTTAATGATATTTCTATAATACAATAATTGTCATGTATGATTTCATTTTCCTGTAAGGAGCTATTTATAATATACTTCTGATCAAAACTGCTTGAGTTGTTCATCTGGAACTTCATGCCACCTTAACTACATGCAAGTCCCTAAATGTGATCAATTTTCCTTCGTTCTGTCGCATAAGATTATTGAACAGGGTATTTGAATCATGGATGAGTGATCCGCTTGTTTTTTTATTTTTTATTTTATCCTTCATTTCATTTGTTCATTCTATTCTGTTTCTTTTTCCTTTCTTTCGCTTGTAGCTGTGATTTTTATTTGAGTTATTAAAAAGTATATTTTCATTGAACTAAAGCTGCATCTATGCTAATGATGCAAATGAGGAATTTTTTGGTGGCTAAATCAAATTATTCTTGATATTTCATTATTTGATTTAAAAGCATATGTTATTGCTTCTTCCCATTTTTCTCAGATATATCAAATCCTTGGTAGGGTTATAATTAACGTTGATCATGTGTATTTCTGTGAATATATATTTTTGCCCTCATCAGTATGCGTGTATTAGTTGTGCACTGGATAATCCTGCTGTTGTACTAAAATTCATTAATCATTATCATATCAGGCTTTTCTTTTCTCTTTATTTTTTCTTTTACGCATAATTTTAAAACATGTGAGCTCAATTTTCTTCCAACAACTGGGTTTCGAAATTGACACTTTTTTTTTTGTATTGTGATTTGTGACTGTTATAACATACTGTAGTGCTTCACTAAACTGAAGATGTAGACCATGTGTATCTAAATATGCTTAATTCTGTCCTAGTTGCAACATGTAGCATTGAAATGCTTTCTTTTCTCTCTTAAGCTTGTCTAATTGCATTTAAGTTTGTGTTAATATCAATAGCGCTTAAGTTGGCGGTGATGCAAGAATTGTTTATCTCACTGTTTGCATCCTGCTCATAGCGGACAGGTTAGAATCCACGATTTCTTCAGGGTTCTGAGATTGAAGGCTTGTAATCTTTCTGAAAAGGTTAGTGACCAAGTATTTTTCACTTTTTATGTAACCTACTGGTCTTTAATATGAATATCTTGTTTGTGTCTCCATGCTTGAAAGGCCTCTTTTATGTATGCCATCTTTGTCTAGTTCTTTTTCGATTTCTGACATTTGAACTGCGAACTCATTTGTTACATATATATATATATATATATTTTTAAAATTAATTTGCCATAGAGTGAAGGTCGATATACATTATTTTGAACAATAAAATAGTCACAAGACAGGCATGACAATTTTTAACAAGGATTTGTGTGTCAAATGCCGATACTTTTCACACTTCCGGCGTTGTGTAGAACACATTTTAAAGCTGTTCTTTATTCAAAAATTAAACTTCATGATTTATGACACTTGGGCAACATGTCCTCACACTGGCCAATACATAACTCACAGAACTTATTTGTTGTGTCACTGATTTCATCTAGTTTAGAGAAAAATTTTAATCATGAAGAAATATGAAGTCAAAGGTTTATACAAAAAATTTCAATTTGACCATATTTTCAAAGAGGAAAAATTACCTATAAGGAGTGGGGTGTGGGAGGAGAGAGGGTGTGGGAGGAGAGAAAAGTCATTATAGTAATCTGCACTTCTGTGCCAGACACAAATTCTGCTCTATCTGTCTCTGTCATCATCAATGATTATATCAATATAATTCGCTACTAGAAAGTTCAATTACAACTTAAACGATCCCATTACATGGGTGAGGACACTCTAAATCCACATATTGCCCAATTAGAAGCAAATCAATTAGGAAATCGATAGATGATTGATTATTATCTGTGGATTGATATGACTACTTTCAGTATGTATACATAACCAAGTAGGACTAGTTCAGTTGACCAGAATTCTTGAATCGCTCATGTAGGTCAAGGGTTCTTGTCTTGCCATGGACAAGGTTCCCCTCCTCCCAAGGCTATGATTGCAAATGTCCAAAAATAAAAAATAAAATAAAATAAAGAAAGATATTACCACTTGGAACTTGCAGTCTGGGGACCTGACATTCCAAAGTTGTATAACAGAATGCTCTGCTCCTGATTGGATTCCAAAGCTGCAATGGCTTGTCACACTTGATTAAAACCTGTGTCAAGTATCAAATGAAAAAAAATACTAGAAGCATGTTTTTCCTTAATTTTTCTTATCAACCTGTACAGAATTGAGTGCAACAAGTATTGAATGATGTTCTCCAGGAACTTCGCACGAGTGACTGCAAGGCTATGACAATTATCATGGTCATTAATTCCTCTAATTTACTTGAACAAAAATATTTAAGCATTAAGTTGCACAGATGATAGTTAATTAAAGGAGAAGGCAATATAAGTTCCGACTACAGTATATTAGATTTGTGAATCATAAACTATGCGATTTGCTATGTAATATTACTCTTACTTGTTGTTGTGTATCTATTTTCTTATGATTTGATGAGTCACTATCTAACTTTCAATGTTGGACCTCCTTGCAGCTCCGTCCTTGCAGGCCTCCGGGCTTACTTTTAGGCCCAATTTTGATAATCCGAACCGTTCATATTTTATGATTTATTCAGTATATCATACCTGTAAAAAATCAAGTTGATCGGATATCAGAAAGCATGTGTTCGGAAAATTGTTTATTAAATTATTTAAAAAATAGTTTTTAGTTCAATTTTTCGAACACATACTTTCTGATATCCGATCAACTTGATTTTTTACAGGTATGATATACTGAATAAATCATAAAATATGAATGGTTCGGATTATCAAAATTGGGTCTCAAAGTAGACCCGAAGGCCTGCAAGGACGGGCGCAAGGACGAAAGCTGCAAGGAGAGGATCCTAATTCCGTGGTGATGTCCCATGTCTGTCAGTACTTCTTAGATGTTGACCCATGTTATGTCTTTGTGATGACTTGAACATAGTTGTCTGGTGACACAATGGATGTGAAAGTATGGTCACTAATAGGAAAATGCAATATTGTATGACTATGAAGCACGGGTACAGATACTAATATGATACGAGTATGTCGATATGGCAAAATCTAAAAAAAATAGGGTACGGATACGGCTTGGTACGTTTGTAAAAAAATATTTATTTTAATTTAGAATAATACAAAAATTGATTAAATGATTTAATTTGTTAAAATTCAACCTACAATTAACATTTAATGCCAAAAGTAAAGGTATAAACTAAAATTAAATGTCATTATATTAAATAACGTACAAAACACAGCTTAATTTTATTTATAAGGGTAAACTACCAATAGATCCTAATAATTGGACTTAATTCTCATCAAGTCCTATTGAAAATAAGGCATAGTACAATTATCATTAAAAATAATTATTGACAATTAGTGATTTTTTTTGTCACATTTTTTTATAAATTGTCACTAAAACTTACAATTAGTGACCTTTTTGTCATGAATTTTTCAAACTGTCATTAAAAGTTGAAAATTAGTAACATTTTTTTTAAACTGCCGCTAAAACTTATAATTAGTGACATTTTTTGTGACAATTTTCAATCTATCGTTGAAAATTAACAATTAATAACGTTTTTTAATAGTGTGATGAAAAATGTCATTAATTATCATATGACCTATTGAATAATAAGTCCACTTAGTAGGACCTACACGTAAGTCTCCCATTTTATAATCATGCTAAGCATAAAATTAAAAATAAAAAAAAAGTCTAGAGAAAGAAATTTTATCTCTGTAGTAGAAGAAAATAATGTTTCGACTGAGGTATGGTATAACTTGGGTATATATTAGGTACATTTGAATATACCAAAAAATTGAATACATGTTTCGTGTATTCAGTACATATGCAGAAGTACACCATACGAAGTACCATTCGCCGATGAGTACTTGGTACTAGTACGGCATATTTGTCAAAGTACTCATGCTTCATAGCTGTATAACTATGTAGAAAATACTAGGCCTTAGTCTTGAATGGATGGATATGAGGCCTTTGCTGTGGAAATAAATTAGATACGTGAATAAATTTTGCTCACTTGCTGTCCATGAAATGTGAAACAACATTACAATTTACAGCTACTTGATTTGAGAAAGTTTTCATATTTAAGAAGTTATTCTTTCTTGATTTCGTCACCTATCTGATGGCTATTATTCTATGTTGTAGATATTTGGAGTCCTTGATGTGGAGAAAAAGGGTAAAATAACATTCAAGAAGGTGATAATCTCTCTCTTAGTTATACATGAGATCCTCAATTGGTCCCAATTTTGTCTGCACTAAGCCAATACAGAGCCTCTCATAGATGGAAAATCTATTGCTTGCAGTTCTTATATGGGTCAGCTCAAGTCCTACAGCAACCATTTTCAGACAGACGAGCCAGTGAATTAGCCTTCGCTGAGTGTCACACTGGTGGAAACCATTACATTTCCGAGCAAGAAGTATGTCTCATACTCTTTTCCTTGATATTCCCTTTTATTTATTATACTTTTGGATAAGGTGTAAGTTGTGTACTCTTGGTTGGTAAATGGATGGCTCAGTTAGGAGATTCCATTAAGCCGGCTATTCCAAACACGGACGAGTTTGAGGTGAGTAATTGACATCCTCATGGGTTCAATGGAAATGTTAATCTAATCCATACAATAACCTTAGAAAAGTAACCACAACGATATATTTTTCTTGAAATTCTTTCAAATTGAAGCTTTGTTTTACTTTACATTTGTAGATCCATGAACTATTCAAATCATTTGATACCGATAACGATGGGAGGATCAACAAGGATGATTTTATCGCCTGTTTAAGAAGAAATCCGTTGCTTGTAGCACTTCTCTCTCCCCAGTTAATGCACAAGAACTTGTCTGGAGTCGATGATACATAGGAGGTTAAAGGAGATGGTGTGACAGACGATGGGTTGATCAGTCTTCTTGTAGATTTGGCTCAATGAAACATTTTAGCTCTTTCACAGAGGGCTTAAGTGAGGGATAGGTTATTCGAATATAATTCTTTTTCTTTTGAAAATAGTCACTTAACTTCTTGTGATTTGTTGAATAAAATATACCATTTTCATCAAAATTAACAATGTATTACACACGTCTATGTTTTCAAATACTAGGAGATTATGTGCGTATATAGGGGTAGTGTGAAGTGTTTAGTTTAGAAAATGAGATTATTGAAGTTAGTTTACAAGTACTCGTAAATTAGGAGTTAATTGTTTATTTTCAAATAACATAGGTATTATGTGTACATAACTGTACTATTTTTCTTTTTTTGAGGGAGAGGTGATAAATTATAAATATGCTACTTGAAATTTGTTTAGAAATATAGTTTACTTCTTGTGAGTTTAGAAATTATAGTTTTCCTCTCGTCAGAATTAGTTTATTAACGGCGTTGACGAGAAAAATGAAAATAACCCTATTTTGTTTTCCATAATTAACATTACCCTATTACCTATCTCCCTTTCCTTTGTTGTCAAACTTGTTCTTATTTTTCTTTCATTTCAACCACTTTCTATCCTTGTCCCCTACTCTAGCACCCGACCCTCTCTCTCTTTCACAGCTACCATTGTAATTTCTTTAAATGGTTGGTGTACACCCGTCTCCTAGTCACCTCCACTCCCTTCCCTACTTTTGCTGCTTACTCTCACTCCCACTTGTACAATCCTTTTTTGAAACACTTTAGTAGTGCTCTTGTTTCAAAATCTACATAATGAATCAGAATACCGGGAGCCATCTCCTTATTAATATAATCTTACCCACCACTCCTACCCCCACTTGTACTTGAAAAAGAAGATAATAACAAACAAATAATTATCAACCCCTCAACCAAATAGATATTAGTTTAACATTCAGAATAGAGGCTATTGTTGTGATTTCAAAAAAAGAGACTTGTGTATTTTTTTTTTTACTTTTTTGTATTTTAATAAATGCTTTTGTGACTACTTTCCTCTTCCTTTGTGGGACCTACCATTATTTTTTTTTTTGAGGACGGACCTACCATTATTGGGTTCACAGGCTACTTTCTTCTTCTCTTTTTGTCATTTTCTTTCTTTTTTTGGTTAATTAAAAAATAAGGTTTCACATGTTTTTCATTTTAAATCCCAATAATTCCATTTCAACAAATTAAACTCTAAAGTTCCATCCATATTTTAATGTGCCCTCTCCTCCTTCCATTTTCGCTTGTGCAAGGTAACGGAGAATCATTTCAAGGTTTAAATTGAAAAACACCGGAGTTTAAAGTGAAAAACATATGAAACTTTTAAATAAATAAAAAACCTGTAGTTAACCCTAATATATAATTTCTTTTTGTGTGTGTATATATGCAACTTACATATCTTATTGTATATGTACATTTGTGCTTATATATATGGTGAAATTTTTTATTCAAATTTTGACTCTTCTAATGATAAAATTTTGATTTCATCCATACTATGTGAGACAGGTTACCTGAAATGTAAGAGACTTATCAGTGTTTTAAGATTTAAAGCTCCCTGATATGTAAGAGACACTTATCAATACTTTAATGGATTAATGCTATTCTTAATCATCAAAATTAGGGATGAAATCAAAATTTTACTCCCCCATCCAATATTAATAGTCCCTTTTTGAATATTCAAATTTTAAATAATTAATTCCAAAAGTACAATTTTATTTCCATTTTTAAACATATTTATAATTACTTTACTAGGGATAATTTTGAAAATTTTTAAATTTAAAATTTTGACTTTCAAAGTGGACATATATATATATATTTTTGAACAGGAAGTGGACATATTTTGGGACAACAAAAAATGTAATAATGGACCAATAAAATAGGACGGAGAGAGTATCATCGAAAGAATAAAAAATTGAATAAAAAAATTTCACCATATATACAAGTACCCTTGTACATATACAATGAGATATGTCAATTATAAATATACACACAAAAAAAAAAAATTTATTAGGATTAATTACAAAAAAAACTTTAAAACTTCACGCGTTTTTCACTTTAAACTCTAATATTTTCACTTTGAACCCCAAAACAATTTTTTGTTACCTCACACAGACAAAGATAAACAAAAGAGGCACATTGAAACATAAATGAAACTCTAAACTTTAACTTGTCTAAATTGAAATACTGAGATTTAAAATAAAAAATACATAAAACCACCTTCTTCTTCTTTTTTTTTTTTTTTGTAATTAATCCATTTTTTTAACTTGTTCAGGATTTGGGATTGGTTTCGGTAAAAGCCCAACAAGTTTGGGCAGGACTGGGTTTCAAGGACAAAAAGTTGTATACCTTTCTCTTTCATCTTTCTCTTAATTTTTAAAATTAAACCTTTGAAATTTATTTAATCCTCTTAAAATAAGATTTATTTGAAAGAACTGATTTCATGAACGAGGATTGATTTTATATATATATATATATATATATCTTCTTTTTTGAGAAAAATATTTATATATGATTTTTTTCAGGTTAAATCATATTGTTTTGGAAAATATATTTTGGCCTACTACTCATTTATTTGTATTAAAAAATAATTTCAAGTAAGAATATCAAATTTTGTTATAGCTACAATTGGGAGGAGGAAACTTGAATCTCCACATTATCAGTGGACATCTTCAACTAATTGATGTGTCATCAATGTACTAATTTAATAAATCTCACCTTTCATGTCTTATAACAAATATATTAGTGACACAAAAATAATCTAAAATTTAATCACTGCAACATTAACTGAAATTGAAATTATCCAAACAAGCAATTATTAATACAGTTGAAAAACAAAAAGGAATCCAAACATGCAACAAGTTCCTGCCGACAAACATCCAATGCAATAAGCAAATCCATGAATCTACACATTTTCTCACAAAAACAGTTTCTCCATATGTAGCATCATATCACTTTGACCATTTGCATTATACAGCATGATCAAAACTAACAGCTAACAAAGTACTGTAAGATTATGGAATGCAATGTGATTAGTGAGATAAGAAAGTCCTTTTAGACAGTTTTACCAAAATTTATCAGATTGGAATATGATTGAAGAAAGAAAAAGAACAATTGCCCCTTTCACGCAGGGGGCATTATCGAAACAAAAATGTCCATGTGATTGATCAACAAATGTGTCTGCTGCTGCCACTAATTTAGCTATATTTCTGTACAATTTATACCAAAGGGTTCAAGTAAACCGCTGTACATTCTTTGTGATCTGTTTTTTAATATTATGTTAGTTCTTATCTTTGGGTGATGGGTTATATTACCACTGTTCCTTCAGTGATTTGATTATCATCTGAAGAATCAGAGGGTTGAGATTTGGGTTTACTCATGATCCAAGAGTATCTATAACCGAGAGAGCTTCCACTTGTTTCATAGAGCTGCATGCAATATTTGATTGTGGTACCTCAATCAAATCCAAATGACAGGCCTATACTAACGAGACTAACCGAATTATGAAAATCAAACATTAATAAGTACCTCGGTAAGCTCAGAAAGATGGCGGGACCTAAACTCGTTGATAGTAGCTTTTATTTCTGACATGGCAGTTTAGCCTAACAAGGAAAAACAAGATAAAGTAAGAACATTCGAAAGATGCCAAACCAAAATAACCAAACTTCTATAATGTTTTGACTTTCCATAGCACATGCTAACAATTTCACAAGCAAGCATCAACCAACAGCAGTAACTAGAGCTACAAACGAGCCGTGCTAACAATTTCACAAGCAAGCATCAACCAACAGCAGTAACTAGAGCTACAAACGAGCCGTGCTAACAATTTCACAAGCAAGCATCAACCAACAGCAGTAACTAGAGCTACAAACGAGCCGTGCTAACAATTTCACAAGCAAGCATCAACCAACAGCAGTAACAAGAGTTTGAGTTGCTGCTTTGCAGCTGGCGGATCCACAAGATCAGATCCAAATGCCTTCAGTTTTCAATGTGTTAACCGAGTCAAATGCGTTTGTGTGTGTGTATGTCACGTGAAAGTGAAATTATATCATATAAATCACAAAACACTTCAGAGAAGCAACAGCCGCTTCTGCTTTACAATCAGAGAACCAGCATGGACATAAATCAGGTGCTCAACAATGAAGACGGTGTACACAAATAGTTGAATTGAGAATTAATAGTAAGCATGTAGCAAGTCACTAATTCAAATTAAAATATCCAATAAGATGCACTGTAATCATTAAGATTGTAGCGAAAAGAGATTAATCTTACAGTGATTTTATGGAATATCAATCCAAAAATTGATCAATTACATTGCATACTAGCATAGCATGGTGGTGACAAATTCAATGGAAATAATATTCAGCTTCCTTATGATTTGTTACAATCGGGACTCCACACTACACGCATGCAACCAATTACCGAAAAGAAAATAGTATTCATCAAATAACTTACGCAGTATGTACTAAATACAAACAACATACATAGCTCATGCAGTGAAAAATCTTATACAATTCAGTGTCATCGATACTGTTTTTTACCTGTGCAAGAACAGCAGCAGCTAATTGGAGACTAGGTTCCAAGGCCTTGGGGACAACCTTTAAGAGTTTCAACTAAAACTCAAGATATGATGTAATTTGAACAAAAAATTGATCTTTGTATAGATAATGCAAGATATATTAGTACTGATTAATGATTTATACATAAGTCAAACAAGAATAATGAGCTCCTAAAACATAAAATAAAATTGTAAGATTAACCTATATAGGCAATTAGGAAGAGTGAAATAACTAATGAAAACAGCAACAGAAATGTACCGCTGTTGCTCCCGCCTTTTCCAAATTGAGTCCATGATCAACGTCATGAGCACGGACAAATGTCTTGACATTAGGGAAATACTTGCTCAAAGCCCACACTGTTCTATAGTTTGCACCAGGGGTATCTAAAGTTATTGCTGCTGCACATGCTCTTTCAGCACCAACTTTATGGAGCACCTCATGGCCAGGAATACAAGCAGCATGTCAGACAATGAACCTGCACAAAGCATATTTAAGTTTGAGCAGGATCATCTATCCCTCTCGACTACCAGCATCACCAAAATACACAGGAAGATCAAGTGCACAGCCAACTACTACTCAGTCACTGAAATGATGGAAAATCTAAAATCAGTTATCTGGATACTGTTGTAAAATATTCTCATAACCATTTAACACATTCTCAGTAAGTCATGGACACGGTACCTTTTCTTTTTTGCCAATTTGCATTTATGTTAAAATGTTCACAGAGATTCAGGGAATATAAGTAAATATAGGAAAATATGGAACCAAAGGCTGGATAATCCTGGATATTCATTTCATAGACTTGAAATCCCCATGTTGTCTTTAGCAAGTAATACTAGATTTTATCATAAAAAATGGACGTCATAAAAAAACAAATGCGGCATACCCCAGAACAGAACTACATGAAATAGTCTTCAAACTGGCATAGATTACCCAAAAGGAACTAGAAAACTCACACAGCCCACACTCATATGACTAAGATTTTCAGCAAAACATTCAATCAGCAATCCCTTCTCTCTCTCAGCCCCAAAATTGACTTTATTCCAGGAATATCAATTCATTGTGATGGAAGCATACCTCCTCACATCAAGAGCAACAAATGGAATAAGTCGTTCTGAAAGAAGCTGCGCAATGATCTGAAAGAACAACAGAAGGAAATGCTACTCTTAGACAAAACATGATACATACATCCATACATGAACTACATTATTTTTTGGGGTACGAATCTATAAATAAACTACATTAAAAATAGATCCACCACAACAAATGATTTAAAACAAATTCATCAAAAAAAAAAATGCAAATAGTGACAATACCTGGCCAACACGTCCAAATCCACAGATAATGATATGGTCCTGCAAATCATCTGTCTGGAAACAAGCCAAAGGAAATCAACGATCAATACATTCAGTGAATATTTCGGTGTAATAGCAACATCAACCCTATATCAAAAACAGACAATTCATCCCATGGTCAGATGTATGGCTGCACCAGACATTAAAAACGATTTAAATTATTGAATAAAAATTTAGTAGATCCTAGGTACAGTTGGACATTACTATATTCAGGAGTTTGAATAGATTTAATAACGGATCATATCTTATACAAATATTGCAAGACC